ATATAGGATAAGTCGATGCAGCTCAGTGTGACTGTGTGTATTCGTGTGCTTGACCATTTTCCGCACCACAGCATGTCATCAAACCATCCACAGGAAGAAGACAAAACCAGGAACACAAGCAAACGGACTGAACCACCTGTAAAGGGAAAAATACAAGCCACCGAGACACTCCGCACACAAACACACACGTCTGCGTGCTTTCCACACTGTCAGTTTCACACTCGTTCCTTGTATGAACAGCCTTCTTGTGCTCCGTGAAGCTGAGAGAGACAGCACTGTCTGGGTTCGTGCCGCCACCTTGGTAACCTCTGCAAATGCCCAACATGGAAATGCATGTACACAGAGGGGGCTGTATTTATACAATGTTTGTTTGTTGGGTGGCATTATGTTGTTTTTTTGTTTTTTTTTATGCAACTGGACTTAAAATAAGTCGGTTGAAGATAATTATGTGATTAAGATGACAAAGATAATATGGCTTATTACATATGTAATTTAGTGTACTTACACAAGTAAAGAAAACTGTACTAAAAGGACGTGTCTTTCATATTTACAAAGCTTTGTAAAAGTTTTCAACTTATTTACTGGGAGTTTTCATTGATGAAAATGAAAATATTATTGCAAAAAAAAAGAGAGACTGGAGATTGGTGTGCATTTCATGCAAACTGACCCTTTCCCTGACCTTGAACACAGCATCCCTACAAAGAAACATGGTGGTGGCAGAATCAACTGTGGGGATACTGTTATTCAGCAGGTTAGGGAAGCATCATCAGAGTTGATGTAAAGATGGCTAAAATAAGACATAGCACACCTTCTATATTTGTATTAATAAATCATAGTTAAAAGCATCCATCATTTACATCCACTGCACATCTGTGTTATGTGTTATATGTGTGGGTTTATTCTTTGCAAAGCTTAGAAATGTGCAAAACTGCTTATTTTGGTACTTATCTGATACCAAGTAGTAAGTAGAAATACCAATACTACTTACACTGATATTTGTTACTTAACTTCGATGTATCATCAAACTTCTGACCTTCAGTAAGTTTGGCTTTACTAGGGTTTTTATTTTGTGGTTTTTCCTGTAAATTATTTTGTTCAAATCTAGTATAGAATTTGGTTAAAGTTTATAGGTGTCTATAGAATATTTTAATTGTGTGATTTTTAAAAAAAATAAATAAATAAACCAAATTCAAAAAAATTCTAATTTGAGAGCAAATCACAACGAAATTTTTGCTGGAACACTTCAACTAAAATATCAATCTGATACTGACTCCGATTTGGTATCGATATTTTGGATCATTCCGCCCACCTCAAATCCATGCACACTTTCTGTGATGTGTAAATGTAGACAGGTCTGATACTTCCTCTCAGATCAGGCCCAAGGATGGACCGGACTACTTCCCAACTAAGGAGACATCCACTCAGCATCTGATCTAGGCACTGTACTTATTTAAAACAGCACCAGCATTTAGATAAATATAAACCATGAGAAACTTGTGAACACCCGACCAAGCCCAGCGTCTAGTTTTCTTTGCTTCAAATCCGCAAAACACTTTACTGGATGTTTATCTGTATGTACAGCACATAGTCGACTGTAAACAGCGGTATCCAAACAGGCTGTGTTGCTGTTACTCTTGTCATTCATCAAAGAAGAGGCTTGTGTCCTCACCAGGCCCAGGCTGCAATTTGGGCTCAAGGCGTGGCCCAGCACCCATTGGGTTGTGTCCGCCCTGCGTACCAGTAATGACCCCTTCCCTATGGGGAGCGTTTGATCTGGGCTGCCTGTGAGCTTCGATGAGGACCTATTTCGGGAACGTGGGGGGGATAAAGGGAGCTTTCATACTTGGTGCCAATGACCATAATTAAGCTGCTTTAAGGGGTGGCAGTGAGCGCACTAGCAAGCACAGAGTTTGTAATTTTGAAGATGGAGGCAGAGTGGCTCATTGGAAGCGCATTGGAGGGTCAGGTGGCACCCGGTGCTGAAACACAAGGCCCCGCGTGTGTGCGCGCGAAGGCCTGCAAAGTAAATGTTAATGACTTGTGTCCATTATCACCCACCCTTGTGGCCGGCTGGCCAGCAGCCTGAGGTCAAAATGAGAGAAGCTCACCATAACTGAGACAGCCTGTCAGCCTTACCTTCACTGTGTGACTAAAGACGACCTTTCAGTTCAAAACGCCTGCAGCCAGTCAGCTCAAAAAGTAAGCAGGACGTACGTACGTGTCACCTCCTTCGCTATTTATCCACTAATTTTGGAGAATACACCCTTCATCTGGGTCTTTGCTGTAATAACAGACTCGGAGTGCTAACATTTAGTCAGAGTTAAACTTTAATTCCTCCCTATCTAGGCATCATTCCAGTCTAATCTCTTTGATTAAATTACCGACTAAGTAGATCTCTATTTGGGTTTACTTTGAAGAATATTAAAATTATGATTTAACGGAGCCCGATCAAATATGTGTTTCTTAAAAATGCTTCCCATTTGATCAGGTTTCACGAAAAGGTAAGCTCATTGTGTTATTGAAATATTGAATTATTTTAAATATTTAGTTATATTCACTACTTATATAAATAGGTACAGATATCTTTGCTTCAAATAGTTTTCCTTATTTTAATATTTTTGTAGATGTATTTCCTAACTGTGACATTTTTTAATATTTCCTTTACAAGTTATTGTTTGCATTCATTCTGTCACTTGAGCATAACTAACCCAAAGTCGCTCAACTTTTCCATATGCTGAATAAAAACTATTCTGAAAACTTGATGAAAAAAAGATACACATTTAAACCCGAGAGGGTTGCAAAGCAATAGTTATTCAAAACTTTGGGGGAGATTTATCAGATGTGGATGGGAGTCAGTGTACATCATGTGTCAATCCCTTGAGTTCATCTCCTCCTGAGCCAGAAACTACGTCAGAAATCTCTTAGCTGGGGTAAGGATAAAGATGAAGGGAAATTTTGCATTTTATTTGGAAATCAAGATCCTGGAGTCTTTAAAGAAAAAGTGGAGAGACGCAGCATCTGACTTTCTGAAAGTCCAGAGGGAAACTTCCACAGTCAGTAATGATTTGGAAAGCCATATTATTCACTGATGGTGTGTTTGAGTGGCCAGCAAAACTGGCCTAAAGTGTTCAAGCAGTTAATGTGGAGAGTCTTCTACTGTCTAGAGGAAAATGAGCACATGAACAGTTTTCAGTAGGTCAGTTTTTCTGTATCCAGTAAAAATGTGCAGAAATATATATTCAAAATATACAGCTTACTAAAAGAGTATTTGACATTGGGTATGCAGCTGCACATTCAAATTAATGTATTAAAGAGAAAAATAGCTATCCACATCAACCTGCCCCTTAAACATAGTTATACCAAAATTGGCAGCAACAACAGGTATCTAGCATTAACAATATGCAATGAGCCATTGTTCTAGAGCATAATCCAACATATTCTCTCTGCACTTTTTGGGATTCCATCAATTATTGCAAGTCTGAGGAAGCAAACGAGCCCCAGACGCTGACAATACCACCGCCATCTTTGACTTTCACATGGATCTCTTTTTGACATTAATGACAAACTTCATTTAAAAAGGGACAATGTACAACTCAAACATAAATGTCCAGATGATAGCATTAACTAATTTGCATCTACTGTCCCTTGACAATTTACAAAAATGTATATTTTCAGAAATATTTTTTAATTGAGTTTTAGTTGTGGTTTTTAAGCAATTAACACACACATTGTCCAAAAAGTGTGCCTTTTGTCTCATCAGTCCGCAAACGGTTTACCCCCAAATATTGGGAAATATCAAGGTAATGTGTTAAAAGCAGAAGTGCAATTGTCATGCTACAGTGTGGTGGATCAAATGCAGACACGGGATGTGATGGTGGATGCAGTAAGGATGTTTGAGAAGTGAAGCTGAATCTTCCTATAAAAAGTCCAGAATCCAAAGACCAAAAAAAGGTGACATGGTAGAACCACGGAGGGAAATAAAAAAAATAAAAAAACATGGGTATAAAGAGTAGACAAAGACAACAAAGTTACGCAGTAGCAAGTTAATGGACTAGCTCTTTAACTTTTAGCAGAGAGGTGATCACGAAAGCAGGGAAAATGAAACAGATACCTAGACACAGAAGACTTAAAGGATACAACTCTAAGCTCACATACATAACAGTGCAAACCAAACATCTAACAGACAAGTGCTTATGTTTATTTCTAGTCAACAATGAATATGATCTTGGCAACTGGCAATCCAATGAATGCCATTTTTGTCTGGTCTCTTTCTTATTGTTGAGTCGCACACATTTATCATAAGTAAGGGCTCCGGGGCGTTAGATGCTCTTTGTTCTTTTGTGACCTCCCAGATGAGTGGTTGACATGCTCTTTTGGTTGGCTGGCCACTCCTAGGGAGGTTCTCCATTTGTGGATAATGGTACCCACTGTGGTTCTCTGGAATCCCAAGGCCTTAGAAATGGCCTTTCCAGATCAGTGGATGTCAACGTGTTTGATTTTCGTCTATTTTTTTTTTTTTATTAATTTGGATTGAGGCATGTTGGTACATATATATATATTTTTAATGATTTCTTGAGTCACCAAGTCTGGCAGTAATCAGGTGTGGTCATAAAAACTAAACATAAAACATTAATGACTTAACATTAGTACCAGGAGTTTTATGTTTAGCATTCAGTTAAAATAAATAAAGCAATCTCTAAGGGGAGAAAATAGGTATTCACAGAACTGTGTTCTTCTAAGTGGGACAAATCTGTATATAAGTTTTATTTCTAGACTTTAATAACTCAATATTTCAAACACAAGCTGACCACCAGTGGCATCACAGTTTGACAGCCTCAGGTGCAGCTATGGATAGACCCGCTTTGTGCGCCCTGGAAGCACATCCACGTCCAGCCCAACTTTGTCACCGTGGTTCATTCATATGGTTAACCAGAGTTTTTGGGACAGGATCCGTGTGGCCACCCCCTGGAGAAAGAGGCGTGTAGTTGCTTTCTCCAACCGCTGGGCTTGTAACTTGACACCTGGCTGCGCGGTTCGTTTGCCATCGTTTTTACCCTCAGAAAAATCTATTTAAAAAGGAAAGCGATGAGTCCAGCGCTTCTGACTCCGTAACCCCGCTCAGAAGAACCCACGCAGCTTTCCTCACCGGCCGCAGCGTCCCTCAATCTGGATCGGCATAAATGAATGAGCCACAAGGGAATATCGCCAGACGATCGCAACCTGGAAACTCTCTCTTGTCAAACAAGACAACCAGGAGGATTCTATGTCGAGCTTGACAGGCAGCTCAGCATGACTTTTTATGTCTGGAACTTCATCTCAAGATTGTCAAATGCGTGAAACGGCGGCCGGTGTTTTCTGCCCCCCTCGCAAAGGAGTCACGCTGTGATTAACGGATCAGGTTTTTGACTGGCAGGACAAATGAATACAAATGAATTTAGGCACCCGAAGGAGAGATTGCAGAACCTCTCATCTAGATACAAAGTAAGTAAGATTTTTTTGTGTGTGTGTGTGTGTGTGTGTGTGTGTGTGTGTGTTTGATGCTTTTGTGGGATCCGTTCAGACACACGGAGGGGTTACCTGTGATACCGGTTTGCTTTGGTCCAGGATTGATGTCCGCATGGGGGTCAAAGGAGGTTCTGAATATTGATCAGACATTTTCCATAGCACATATCAATGCGATGCATTTAGCGTTGCAGCAGGAATTAGTTAGCCTAAGTCATTATTAAAATAAAACATGGAAGTTGCGCAATACTTGTATAATTCTTGCATTTCACGTTTACATGTTTTTTTTTATGTTGGGAAAGGTAAATGGTTCAGTCTTTCATGCAAGGTTAGCTAAACTGACTCATCTGACAACACAGGGGGAAAAAAAAGGGTGCAAGTATTAGGACCTATAAAATGTAATGAGTGGCTCATCAGCATCCTCTGCGCCGTCGGATATTTTCCACCTTCCCGGCTATTCTAAGCGGCCACTTTTACGCACTGACAATAACGCATTAGTGCTTTAAAGAAAATGCCATTAAAACTAACCTTAGAGCTCCTGGCGATAATGTAATTTAATTTAATTTAATATGGAATTAGTGTTGAAATTGTGATGGGGAAAAAAGCTGCAAATGTCCACAGATAGACTGGTTCTAGCTATGAATGAAAGGCTCATTCATTCATTCATTCATTCATTCATTCATTCATTCATTCATTCATTCAGTCAGTCAGTCAGTCAGTATTCAATGTTTAGGACATTCATGCTTCTCTCCTCACGTTATTTGCTGTAAGTTATTATATTTTTTAATCATCTCCAGGGATGTAACCACTTTTATGTTCTTTAATAACACAAATAGATGATCACAGCTGAATCATCAGAACAACTTGTTGGGCTTCATCCACAAATGCTTTGCCCTTCCGCGCTGCTGATGTAATTGCGCAATAAAAGCAATCTACCTGCGTTGTTTTTTCAGTAGGCGTCCACGAGGTGTCGCCCTTTATATCTAATAGCTTTTGTACAGGTAATTGTTTTTAGGGGTGTGGGGGTGTTAACTCCCAGTTTTAGCCCTGAGAGTTAGCTGCAAAATCAAATTCAGGTCTAATTTGGCAATCAGTTTCCTAGCCTTTAGGTCTGCAGGTGTTTATGCATCATTTGCAGGACTGAATTAGGTGGTGACTGAAATTAGTCACCAAGTGAGCACAGACAGACCTGGTGATGGATGTGTGAGTGTCCTTCACATTAGTGTTGCTAGTGCCTACTCATCCATAGGAATTTTCCGCAGCGTGCGTGTACTTAGGTGTGTGCGTGTGTGTGTGTGTGTGTGTGTGTGTGTGTGTGTGTATTCAGGAGGGAAGGATGTCCTTTGGGAAACCTTTGCATGGAATCAGTCAGTAGTCTAAACACATGAACAGAAATGGAAACTATACACTGGGCTTTCTGTGTCTAACCCGTACACTCCCCCCAGCCCTCCTCTCAATCCACCCGACTGTACCTCCCTTCTGCAACAAGCCAACCTTCAACTGATGTCTGCAGAAAAACAGTGCAGGTTTCAAGACAGTAACAGTAAAACCATTGCAGACTTGGTGTCTACAAGGAATGTAAGCTTTATTAATCCCTGTTCAAATTACATATATTACTTGGATACCATAAAAACACAAAAGGAATATGTATGTAATGATCCAGTTTCATCAACTAGGTCTGCTCCCGAAAGAGAAGTCTCAAACAACATAAAAACCACCGTCTGTTTTACTGGATAACGTTATAGGAGCCTTTGCTCATCCATCTTGCATTTTGTCCACTCAGCTTACGGTAGAATTTCCAATAGGAGTCATGTCATTGCTCATAGCTGCAGCAATAAAACCACACTAGTCTGACTGTAGTGATGTTAGCCTTTCCAATTTATGACTCATTTCGAGAAAAAAAAAAAAAAAAAAAAAAAAATCAATTTCTGTGCAAAAGGAAAACCCCTTTCTGTCACGGGCACTTCTAAAGCACCCTAGTAGAAATCTAAACAAGCTACTGAGAATTTTGAATAAGCAGAAGCTAAGGCAAGCAGTGCCGCTTCCTGGGTAAACTTGGTCCAGTCTCCACAGATGCAAACGGCCCGAGGAATAAAGCGAAAGTTGTTTTTACTGCAACAACCAGTGGTTTCATGACTCGATTTCAGAGGATGGGTTTCTCAGTTGATAAGACAAAATCAGACTGTAATTACCTTGGAGTCATGCAGATAACACACACATAAACACAAGCACACACACGCGCACACACACGCACACACATCCTGTGAAAACCACAGCCACAGCTGTGTGTGGGGATGGCTGTGATGAATCTTTATTAGCATCCAGGGGCTGAACGAGCAGAAGACGCAGACACCACAAATGTACATGTTGCACACATGCTCTGATTATAATTATCCAGGTCTGAAGGGGATTCTGATGCTTAGACTAATTGTTGACTCCTTTAAACACAGGGACAACTCTTTGTTAGTGGTAGTGCAGGTAAATACATTTTAAGACAGCTACCTTCATTACTTTCTTTCCCACATTTCTGTATTTGGAACCCTGGTTGTCTGCCTCTCTGTGGCCCTCTAGGCACAGCTGCAATACACATTTCCTCCTCCAGTATGTGTGTGTGTGTGTGTGTGTGTGTGTGTAACCATGTGTGTCTGGATGACCTCCAGCGGTAAACAGTGGCTCCCCTGCCTGTCACTACAGCTTGGTCCCCCTATTGAGCATTCAATACTAACATGGGCCAGTCTTTAGGTTCTGCTGCACACCTGGCCCTGTAGACACTGCTGAGAGAGATCGTTTTGTTTAGCTCCACGTGTGAAATGCATATTGGTTTGGGAAAATAGAGTTATTGGATAAGTGCATGGTCGTATTTTTGCCTCCAGAACCCACGACCTGCGGCCCTGTGTGTGTTTGTGTTTGGGGGGGTTTTCAAAGAGGTGCTCTAAGTGCTTTTGCAGAGTCCCGCTTCCCGTTGTTACTCCCATGGAAACTCAGTTGCTGACAGTTGTTTTTGTTAAAGCTTGTGTTTTGGTTTGATGTTAACGTTAATCTCAGGATAATTTATGAATTTGTGCTGTGTCCAGGTTTCCGAATAACAGCTCCTTGAACTGACAGTAATTGTATTAGTGTGACACAACAGAGAAGGGTTCTTTGTAAATATTCTGTTGATTGCTAAATGCACGATTCCCATAAAGTGAAAAAGAGTATTTTCACTAGACACAACTATTGCTCAAATAACCATTGATAACCTTACTTGACCTCACCTTTGCTTATTGAATACTGGGATAGAGAAACTGAAACTTATGAACCGGCTGGCTTTGATTACTCCTGCTAATTGCTTTGTTTATTTTCAACAAAGCAGTTGAAAATAAACAACTGCTTAAGTTTTCCATCTTTATCGCTAATCGCTAAAGATGGAAAACTTAAGTAACACAAGGCACTGATGTCAAGAGAGGAGCAATCCACCCAATCCTGGTTTAGCAGAAGTTGATAATCCCAACATATATATGTAAAATTCTGATAAGGGAAACATGAAAAGTGACACACACACACCTAAAAGATGTGACACGATTTCACGATCCACAAAATCTCTTTCATTTCCCCACAGGCTTTTTTTAATGCACCTGCACACATGGCAATGTAATTGTGTGACAGCTGCTTTGAAGATCCTGGTCTAAATATTAGCTACTAACTTTGAATGAAATTGAATAGGTGCAGAAGTGCAAAGCAAGGTTAGTCATTCTAGAGACTTTCAGATGTGTGTGTGTGTGTGTGTGTGTGTGGAAGATGTTGTGTGAAGCGATACGTCTTCAAGCGACTCCTAAAAATAGCAAGTCTGAGGACGATCAAAGTATGCTAGGTAGGGCTCCCTTGCATCCAAAACTTACTCAAAGCTGAACAACAATAGGTCTAAATGGCCATGCTGACTCAGTGTTTGATGGTGTAATTCTAATTATAGTTAGGCTGTGCTCTAAGTATATCGCTTAGGAAACTCCACTGGTTTACAAGCCTAGGACTGGAACACATTTAAGATCGGATTGATGTCATTTTTAATTCCATTGATGTGTTCTAATTGTGGTAATTGTTCATTGTTGTAGTTAATAGCAGCAACAACACAGGCCAGTTTTGTTCCTAATAGCGTTGTAAATACAGTTTATTATTCTCAATTATATGCATTCAACCGCTAAACCCAGAGACCTCAGTCTTTTGAAAAGATAAGCTATCAGAGATGCTGATAGACAGTTTATACCTGCAGCTTTTACTCTGCTTGATGTATTTGATAATCTGGACTTTTGGGGGGTGTTGGGACTGGTCAAAATTTCAATCCTTGGAAACATTCTGGTTGCATTTCCAACTGGGAACTTGAAAAATCCTATTAGTTTTATTACGCACTCATATTTTGAATGCCAGTTAGAGCTGCACAATATATCAAATGACAATCAACATTGCAATGTGAGCGATATTGATTGATACTGATGTAATCATTTTCAAGAATATTGCAATTAGTTGTTTTCCTAATACAACAAAGTGCTAATGTCAATGATATATTTGGCAGGTTGCATGTAGCAAACCTTCCCTTGGTGCCCACAACTCACGTGAATATCAGTGAAAAAGATGCTACAGCTCAGAGAAAGTTGTTGAAATATTGTGGTGATGAAGAAGAAGATGCAAGATTATTAAGAAATTCACAATATTTTAACTGGATTGCGATTGCACGTTTCCGCATTATCAAACATAAGACAGCCTTTAAAGAAGGATTTTAAAACTACATGCTTTTAATCAAATGAAAATGAAAATGAAAGAAAGTCATACTGTAACTGTTTCCTTTTTCTAACACTGCTCTTCTTTCTTTTACCAGGAGAGCCCTATTGCTCTGTGCAGTTTTATATTGTACTTGTTACCTGGGACATACACAAGAACACTCTGAAGGTAAGACTCGTTGTTCATCTCCATTCATTTCATATTTTCCTTTTCATTGTGTGTTTAAAAACGTTAACGCAAAAGGAAAACTATGTAAGGCTGAGGTGATTTTCCAATTATCCTTCCCTGTTCAGTAAATCTGTGGAGAGTTCAAAGCCGTGACAAGATTTCTTTGTGAATTTGGGGCAGCTGTTGCTATGATAATCGCAGTTCAAATCGATAAAGGAAGCAAATTTAAGGAAGGCATGGGATTAGAACATTTTACCTACAAAAAAAAAAAACCTTGTGTTTCACTTCACATGTATGAGCTACATAACTCCAGCAGTCAAGAGGGCAAAAGGTCAGGTAGCTACACCCTGGACAGGTCACTACTCCTTTGTTTTAGAGGGCAAACAACCATTCACACTCACACCTCCACCTAAGGGCAATTTAAAGTGGATCGTTGACCTAACCTGCATCATTTAAGACATTTGGAGGAAGCCAGAATACCTGGAAAGAACCCATGCAAGCACTGTGAGAACATGCAAAGTTGTTTGAGATTTGAACCTATGATTTTCTTGCCAGGAACCAGCAGTGTTAATACCAGGTCCATTTACTCTTTCACCGTTTTGGTGGTTTTCCTTGATGAAGAAGTTCTAGATTTACTCCAGTAAATCATCACCCAGCCACCCATATAGAAAAAATATATATATTATGTAAGACTTAGCCTTTTTGTAAATTCTTAATTCATAGATCTTTTTTTTAAGATTATTTTTTAATTGGGGGGAAAAAATTCTGCCTTTTGCTTTATGTGTTTTTCCTAAGATGTTTCTAATTCACAGTGTGCAGCCCGGTTGTTGTTTCCACAGATATATTCTGACTGAGAAAGGTCACAACCTTTAGGAAAAGCATCTTTTATTGACTTTTCAGCTTTAGTAGCTGAAAGAGAAAGATGAGGAATGAGAATAATCACAAGTGCTCATACTGCAGTGCTCAAGGGCAGCTGAGGGGAGATCTCTTGAGTGAGAATAAATGACTTCATCCTCTATAGCGGATAAAATTACAAAGTGCAGACCCTTGGTTTTTGTATTTGTGCTACATTAGTGAGTTGGCACAGAGAAATGCTACGAGCTCTCGCCATGTGCTTGACACACTGACGTTCAAACACATATGTTATGCTGTAAAACCACTGGGTTAATGTACACTATGCCCCTGTAATAGAATAATTTGTTAAATAAAGACTTTGGAAACATCAGTACGTACATTACATGTAATTCATGCCCTGCTTCACTGCCAAGTCCTGCTGTCCCTTGCTGCCAGAGAGACCACACAGAGAGGAAAATTTACTGAGGATGAGTATACAATACGCTCAGTGTATTCCTTAGTTCTGTTTTATGAAGTCCTTATGTTTCGAGGCAAGAACAGCTTTATAAAACCAGACTGTGTAGACATTTTAACCTTTATTTGGAAAGCTTTTTCTTTGACTCATACATTCAAAAACTCTTTTTTTTGCACCAAAGCAACTGTTCCCTGTCATAGGTCTGTTCTCTCCACAAAATAAATGCACACTGCATTATAACTTTCAGCAGTTGTCTACTCCTGTACAATTCAAAAGTCGGAACGTAATCATCTTTCCAAATGTTTTTATTGTAGACAAAGATTTCATGATCAATGCTTTTCCAGAACATTGCGCATTAAGGCAACTCATCCCTCTTCTAAGTGCACGTCCCCATTAAACGGGCAACCACAAGTCCGAGTTTACCCTGAGGACAATAAAGATAGTGCGGATCCTGTGGGTCACAGGTCATTGGGAAGATGAAAGCTGGGACTACTTTGAGACTGAATGCTGACTGAGTTAAAGCTGTATTAAAAGCTGCAGACTGTATTCTGGCTCCAGGGAGGGAGACAGTGTGCTCAGTTTCTAAATATCTGAAGAAAACACGGTGTCAGTCAATAACCTTAACTTATTTTGGTAAAAGAAAGTCAAATAATCCTGTGTTCACATCCCAAAAATCCAACTGGGATAATTTAATGTGTGAAAAGAATATATCAAGCTTTCCAAAGATAATCATTTGATATTGAACTTTAAATGCAACATATTTGGTTCTGCAAGCAAGCTACTGTGTGCAAAATACACAGAGTATTTATAGATATTACACTTTAATTAATAAAGGTGGATCATTCAGAGGTTTTGTGGCAAAATATATTTTTTAAAGCTTTGAACTGATAATATTGACTCTAGTGTATTCCTATTTCTCTTTCAGAACTGTAAATAACACTGGCACATTTATAGCAAAATCCTTAGAACAGCTCAGAGTTACAGAGCTGTCACTCTTTGGAAAATTATTGGAAATTAATTTTACATACTTCTTCGTTTCAATCTGCAGCCAATTTCATGGCATACCTTAATATTTAGTAGTTCTCTTTCACTTGTGGCAAAATGTGCTGACTATTAAGACTGAAAAAGAAAGACTGAAGCCCCTTTAGGATGGAGTTGCATTCCTAGACATGCATGCAAAGTTCAGAAAGATGTTGCTTTAGTTTCAACCTCTACATTTGCAGATTTTTTTATTATTATTATTATTATTATTATTATTATTATTATTATTATTTGGCTTCAAAGCAGCTGAATTTCAAATAACCGGCTAGTTAATTTAAATCACATAAGGCACAATTCAAGTCGTGTACGCTGTGGTCAACGTAGTTTAAAATGAGAGCCAACCCTTACAGACGTTGCATCACATTTTATGTCAGACTGCTCCTTTGACAATTTGCAGACCATTAAAGCAGGAAACATGCTACTGTTGTGGCCACACTTAAAGCCGTTTAAGACATCACAAGTGGCTTATGGGATAAGACTGAGGAAAAAACAACTTTGTTTTGAGGAACATTGCTGAAACTGCTCATTCAGTGACGAGGACAGTGGGTAAAATAATCAAAATAGTCTTACTACCCTGCAGCGTTAAGCTGAAAGCATCTTACAAAGTAGCTCACATGGGATATGTTTACATGCTTTTGCTTTGTTTTGTTGACAAGATGCATCTGTAAAGTAATTTCATAATCTAGCAGGTTGATTACATACAGCACACTCCACAAGTATTGACACCTAAAAAAACTAGATGATAAGATGTGGAAGGAAAAGCTCAAGTTCAAGTTTTAGGTGTTTTTAATAATTTTTGGTAATATTAATCAAATTTTAGTGAGTTGGGTTTTTTTTTTTAAAGTTATTTCCTTTTTTGTGAATCACATTTTTGTGACCGAAAATGTAAATGTTCGATGGTCTTTCCCATTCTGAAGAGTGACTGAGAAAAAAAAAAAAAAAACCCCTATGTGTCAAATTTATCTTAGAACTTAGGGAAACAGAAAGCCGTGGATAAGTAATGAAAATGTGAAAGATCATTGTGATTTATTTAAAAAAATTGTTATATTGCACACTGAATTAGTCTACTCAAATTAAAGAACGGGTTTTCTAAATGTTTCAGTGTGAGACTGAATCTATATTGTGCTGTGTGGAGGATTTTGCTTAGCCCTTTATACTTTATCAAAGATTATCAATCTTAGTACATTATTCAAAATATATTTAAGTGGGTAGGATTTCTTTCTGCAGATGTAGACATGTAAATAATGTAAATATCCTTGCAAAGTTAATAGCAAGACACAGGGGAGAAGAAGTCTTTTATTAGGCTATAAAATTGTTGTAAACCTCATTGCTCTTCTGCAGTCTTCATGTTTTCGTGCTATTCCATACCCCGGTGTCCATTGTATCCTAATAATGCACTGTAATTCAATCTATTTAATGCAAAATCTCAAAGATAATAATCTGAAAAGGTTTACACAGAACGCTAATGTATTCTTCGTTCTAACCATTAAAACTTTGCATGCTGTTCAGATAATAAATGGAGTATATAGCAACAGGCATGCATGACTAACACTGCATTCTCTCTCTCTTTTTTTTTTTCCAGATGTTGATATCCTCCAAAAGTTGGGGCTTAAGGGACAGAAGCTGTCACGTTCTGTGCCAGAAGGGGTCATTCCATTCAGAGCGGGGATCATCCTCAACCAGAGGGCGCATATTGAGGCTCCATTGCACTCAGTCCTTCCAGCGGCCATCTGGCCCAAGTTGGCACTGGTCCTGAGTGTACGCTCACATCGTGTAAACAGTGCTTTCCTCTTCACTCTGCTTTCAAGCAACAAGAAGCTCCTTCTTGGTCTGCAGCTTGTACCAGGTAGTCTTGTCCTACACACAGGACCGAACACCTCAGTGACACTGCCCTATGAGCCCCATGATGGCCAGTGGCACCAGTTGGCACTGGGAATTAATGGAAAGACAGTGACTCTATATGCCTCCTGCGGAGAGCAGAGTGTCCAGGCAGACTTTGGGTGGGACAGTGAGGAGGGACTGGCTCCAGGACGCCAGGGCTCCTTCTTGCTGGGGAAATCAAGCCAGCACCAAGCATCAGGATACTTTGAAGGAGCAATTTGCCAGTTTGATCTGGTCCCTTCTGCACAGGCAGCTCACAACTACTGCAAATACATTAAGAAACAATGCAGGGAAGCTGACACTTACAGGCCTAACCTTTCTCCTCTACTGCCTATTCTACCAAGAGTAACAAACATTTCAGCTACTCCTGCTACCCCTAAGCGTGGCGGTTCAGACGCCGCAAGGAAGACCACAAAGTCGAGCCTTGCCAGGAATGTCGCCGCTGCTGCCTCATCTGTCAGGTATGGGGCCCCCGACCATAAAAAAAAGCTAAATCAGACAACCACACCCGCTCCCCTGCTAGTAACTGTGATGCCAACCACATCCCAATTGGGTTTGGTCGTCCCTTCTTCCATAACCAAGACTGAAACTGTAACAGCACCACTCAGGACACCAGCGCCGCACACAAAATCTCCCCTAACCCCAAGCTTGAAAGCGTCAAATCACAAAACTGCTAAGCCCACACCACCAAAGCCTACTCATCAAAGCACCTCAAAAGAGACTATAACAAGAACAGACAAGAAGAAACTTACCACTCAAGCCACCAAATCCCCCAAAACCAAACATGACACTGTTTTACAAGACCAAGCTAGAGTCCCGAACCAACCCCAGCCCACAACACCCAAGAAAATACTCCCCAAGTCTAAGGTTTCTCCATCCAAAGCTCCTTTGCCCAATTCCAAATCAGATTATGTCAAAGCAATCCCCTCTAAACCAACACTATCCAAAGCAAAGTCCTCAAAATCAACAGTCTCCAAAACTACAACTGCTAAGCCTCCAAAGCCAATTTCTAAGCAAACTACCAACCCAACAAAGAAACCCAAAACTACCAAGGCTTCAGTCACTCCTCGACCGACCAAGCCTACAGACAACGCAGTAACGCCACCTGCCACCGATGGTTTCCTGAGCTGGGAGGTGCCACCAACACAGTTCTCAATGCTGACAGGACCAAAGGGAGAGAAAGGAGACCCTGGCCCACCGGTAAGTATATCTGTTCACCCTTAATTTGAAGTAGTATCACAAAAAGGTCAATTAAACTGAGAAGGACCTACAGTGTATGTTTTCTTTTGCTGGTTCTGGGTGGCCTTTCATAAGTGGGAGAAAAAAAAACAGAAATAAATGTCACACTAGAGTCAAGCCAGTCGGTTCTGAATTTATGTCGAAACCTTTTACAGATGCCATTTAAATCAAACACTAACACTTTAAATAGAAAATCTTCTAAATGCATTTTCTGTTGTCTTAAACAGCTTAAGAGTTCCTAATTTACTTCCTTACGTTCTCCCCCGTTTGTTCATTGAACCATCCAGGATGGATGTGACGTGCCACGTTTCACACTTTGCCATCTCTTGACCAGATTCCTCTGTCAGAGAAGGCTAGACAAGGTCACACTAAGCCCCTTTCAGATCAAGGTTGAAGGTCAAAGAAGTTGGGAAACACTGAGTTTCTCAATACACGCACAAGGTTAGGTCAGGCCTTCGGTGTGTCGCCTGAGGCTGAAACGCAGCTTAACCCTTTCAAGAGGTCAGTTCACACTCAGCTTCAGAATCTGTCTGCATTACAGCTGACCACTCAGTTTAAGTAATTTCTTACTTCCAGGTCTGTTTTTTGCACTGAAGCTACTTCTTAACTATTAATGCATGCATACTACTATTTTTTTTTTTTTTAGCTTTTATAAGTAATCTGTGGTTTTCATATTGCTCCTGCAATGTACTCCAAGCAGGGCATAAATTGTGGGATAGACAGATTAGAGGAAATTACTAGTGTATCTTGTGCTAAGTAAATATTAAAAAAGAAAATTTACGCTATGTTTGCCACAACAAGTTACTATTGTCTGCTTAATTTAGCAAAGCAGAGGTAATTTCTTCAAAGAAATCTTCTTTAAATTATTTTCTCCAATTCTGACTAATGTGACAGGCTTTCCTACTGCTTTGAAAAGACTTCCTGTAACCTTAGTTGTGCAACTGAATCTATTTCATATGGCATATAAGTTGACATTTGCTGGAAGTGAGATTGTTAAGCTAATGTACCGGCAATGTGTTTAAATTTAATTTGGTTATGTGGCGATTGATTTAATTTTTTTTAGTCGTCTGCCAGCTTTTAGGGACATTTAAACAGCTGGAGCTTAAATACTCTTTTCATCAAGAGAACTTAATTTGATTAAATCTTACAGCATAAAGTGCTTTAAATAAACATTTAAGCCCAGTTTGCTTTTGTAGAATTTTTGATTTTATGGCTTATTGTACAGTTTATTGTGGAGAGGGAGAATATCAACCAAAAATCCAGATAATATGAATTATATTGAAGCTGATCTGAATTTACCTTGGTTAGCATTTGATTTCCAACAAAGCATGTCCTGGGACTTCATAAAACCCATGTTGGCAGTCGCAGTAGTCACACATTTCTTGTGGTCTCCAGGTTTGTTCAAAATCTCAAGAAGGATTTTGGCCCACTCATTTGTACAGAAACTCCTTAAATCCTTTAGGTTTCTTTGCTGCCACTTGGCAACTCCAGATTCCAGGTCTCTCCTCAAATTTTCTATTAGATTGAGGTCATGAGACTGGCTCGGCCCCTCCCAGTACTTAGTGTGGTGTCTCTTTGGCAGCGTGTTTGGATTCGTTTTCTTTTTGGAATACCCTTCCACAACCCACTTTCTGCGTTCTGGCTGAGGACAGAAATATATCCTCCAGGATTTTATGTTACATGGCTCCTTCGACTACAGGATTCATTAAAGTCATCCTGTACCCTTATTGAGAAAAAAAAAAGAAATCCAAAGCATAATATTTCCATTTCCATACTTAACTGTGAAAATTATGTTCTTCATCAGCATTTCTCTTCCTCCCAACAGAGTGAGTGGTGTTGATGCCAAACAGCTTGATTTTGATTGCACATTTCTTATTTCCAGGCCTTCTCTGGCAGGGAAACATGAGGGACAGTAAGGATTTAAAACCAGTACTTTGAATGTTTGCTGGCAAAACGTAAAACTGACTTACATATGAGGTTTGCAAGATTACAATCCATTCGTAGATATCTTCAGATCTTTGACAGGACAGCCTACAAGGTTGTAGGCTGATCCCTCACTTTTTTCTCAGTCATCTGCACCCCATAATGTAAGATCTTTCCAAATGTTCCAGACCAATTGATGGTCTTTTCCTATTTTTTTTCCATTTCTTTTCTTCAGCTTTAATATCTCATCTTCAGTATTCTCTGCCAGTTCTTTAGTCTTGTCCCTGGTGATGGAGATGAAGGTCTGAAAGAGACTAATTCTGTGGAAAGGTGTGTTTTATGCACATCTTTTTTATAAATGAATTTGAAGCCGATCTTATCCAGCAATCCTAATACCCCCACAAAAACTAGCCACTGTCTCCTTTTGCTGACTGATTGCTGACTGACTAACCTTCCCATCAGGTTACATCTGCATGTGTGCGATTAAACAAAAGTCACCCCTACTGCTGCCAAATTAGCAACTTTGTTGCTATATTTGTATTGGAGCATTTGCACTGACGGTGTGTTGTGACCTTAAAACATTTGACAGTGTCAATTTAAAAAATTTTTTTGGATAGAATAGCAATCAGCAGATCACCAATCTTCTTATAACAGTGATTAGCTTGAAAGCTGCAATCGGTGCAAACCCAGTTATATTTCAAAGAGGTATAAAATCAGTTGAAGATGACATTGATGTAATCATGAGTTTACACTTCAGAACATACAATTGTGAATGTAAAATATTTCAGGAGATGTAAAAATGAAGTTGTTTCTCCTTATATTTAAATGTTGAATGTGTGACACTAAGACGAGGAACCTCAAAAGACTTATTTTAATTTGTGTAATGAAGATAAATTGAGGATATCTTTTAAATGCAGAGCATCTGTATGAAATATTAATCACAGGATCCACAGGCCTTGTGTCAGCCAAAGCAGCTACCACTGCTCATGTTTTCCTTCCTCCTGTCCCTCTTTTCTAATTAAAAGAAAACGAATGAGCAGAAGCCTGAAAGAGACACACAGAGGCATTGAGTGGCGCAGGAAATGACCTGTTATTTCTAGCCTCTCTACAGTTTCCTGCCTGCATGGGCTCTGACGGTTTTGATAAATACGTTTTAACTCTTATCACCCAGAGATTGAATTACTTAAGAGGGAAAGAGGATCACTTTTTTGACACAGAGCAGTACCATTTAAACTGTAAAAAACCTGAGCTGATGGATTTGACAAATATGCCTGTGGAAGACGACTGGGGTGCAAAAGAGACTGTTTGTTTGGTATGTCAGCTTGGAGCACTGATTGAAAATTCTCTCTCCAGGGACTGCCAGGACCTTCAGGGAAACCAGGCCTGCCAGGCGAGAGGGGTCCGCGGGTAAGTCCGGCTGACCAAACACATCTAGACATATTCTGTGTGTCGTTTCTCGACACGTTCTTGCATAGCGAATTATAATAGCACATCATCCCACATCATTTTAAATCCCCCTCGCTGAGCAGCTGATGCATGCGAGCTCTTTTGCATGGTTGCGGACAAAGTTCTCCTGTGCAGGCGGACTGACCGTGTTCAGCACAGGGCTGCGAGTGCTGACCTCCCACCCCTGAGCATAAACAGGAAAGCTGCTATAAAGACGGCCTTTCAAAAGCATGACTGTGCCACAGGATGCCTAATAAAAGCACAGTAAACAGACAGAAAACACATGGCTTCACTGGACTTTCTCCTCCCAACTGAGCTGTTGCAGCAGGCCTTCATAGGAACCCCACTCTAGACTAATGGAGGCCCCAGTTTTTCCAAACCAGTTAATCATTCAAGAGTCTTCACTTAGCGAATGTCCTTTCATCTCCTTTGTTTCTCCTTGTGAGTCATGGTTTTGAAAATGCCTCTGAAATTTTGGAGAGAATTTGGACAACTGTATCCTACTACTTTTGTCAAAGACGGACATATTCTTACAACATCTGAATCCCTTCGAATGAGGTGCTGTGCCAATATTTATACAACTCACTTTTTCCACTAGTGGCACAATTAGAGTTAAGAATTGTAGCCTTAACTCTAGTAAATTGCCTCAACAGCTGTGAGAGTGTTTGCCATAAAATGTTCTCCCCTCTCAGAAAGAGCTGCTTCAAACCTGGTGACCTCTTCTTCTGCCGGTGCAATCAGCATCTTGAAATTGTCCCATGGTGTTTAGTTTAAAAATCCCAAAAGAAAACACATGAAAATAAAATGCAACCCTCCATGCATCCATCACCTATCCCAGATTGGGTTGTAGAGGTAACAGGTCCAGCAGGGAAATGCAGACATCCCTCTTCCGTTCATTTTCGGGAATCCCAAAGCGTTCCCAGACAGGAAGGGATGGATTGTGCCCTTAGTGTGATCTGGATCTGTGTTGGGGTCTCTATCCAGTTAGACTTGCTCAGAAATCCTTCCTCCTGACCAGATGAACCACCTCAGTGCACTGCGGAGGAGCAGCAGCTCTGTTCCAAGTTCCCATACTGTAGGACTCAACCAGGCTGAGCTTAGCCGCCCTACAGATGAAGCATCATTTCAGTTGCTGCCATTCATCGTCTCACTTTCCATACTTCATGACCATAGATGAGGTTTAAGACATAGATTTACCGGTCAAGCTTTGCTTTGTGGCTCAGCTCTTTCTTCTTTAGGTTACTGACTCTGTGGTTTGTTTGTTTTTTATGCTAGAGGTTAAATTAAAAATATTCGCAGAAGAAGAAAGCTCCGATCATTTCAACATTAAAGCTCTAGAATTTACTCTGGAGTATACTTTGTTATGAATAAAAGTTTAGGAGGATAAGAAGGTCTTTTTCTGGGTTCATTAGAGATAATTAAACCTAAAGTTCCACAATTGCATCTCAGATAAGCAGTGCTTATGATCCAAATCACACTTAGGTAAATTAAACTTTAATTGAGCTAAAAATGCCTCCTCGGTGCAGTGAAACCTAGTCAGACCAAGTTTAATTCAGAGTCCAATATTTTGTGCTTTCTGAAGTCCAGCAGTGTTTTCAAATATAACAACAAAATGTAAATATAACATATTTATCTACTGCAGTGTCATAATGAAAATAGGTAGCAGTGGCCACTTCCCTGTGAATGAATAGAATCATTGCTGGTTAAGATGTCTTATTGCCTGGTGAAAGTTTTGGAGTTGGGGACAAATTTTTTGCACAAACTTTGATAAGGATTTTTTATTTATCAAAACAACACAATACGGAACACAACTATTAAGTCAAACAAAAAGGATGCATGATCTAGAAAGCATGTTGCGTATTTCTGCTCTGTCCCCGTGAGTTGAAATGCTTATGAGGTGTCTTTACTAGCTTCGCACATCCCGGCTGAACTCTCAGCCGATTCTCGTTTGCAAGATAATTCCATTTCAGTCAAAGTGGAGTGAAAATGTGTGCGAATTGGATGCAGTTTCGCACGCAAAACCTACACAATCTTTGCATGTTTTGCCAAAGATTCCTAATTGGATTTCAAACTGGACTTTGATCCATTTTAACACACGAAAAAGGCTTTCAGCTGCACAGTTTCACTGAAGCTCCGGCTGTATCTTTTAGGGTTTTTATCCTGCTGGAACGAGAGCCTCTGTTCCACTCTCAAGTCGTTTGCAGCCTCACAGAGTTTTTCTTTGGGAATTTCTCTGTATTTATCTCCATCCGGCACAGATCGACTTCTCAGGTTCCACTGCAAACAACGAAAAGTCAGATGGCACTGCTTTGCAACTTACCATTGTTCCTTAAACATATTGAGATGGGGAATCTCCATTTCTCCACCAGAGTTACGAGTTCGGGTTAATGGTCTGTATGTACCCGACTAATTCTTATAGTTGTTTTCTCCTGCCCTGGTTTCCACCCTTCATCCTTAAATGTAAATGGAGGGTTAGCAAAGTGCAAAGAACGAAAGTCAAGTTTTCCTTGTAAGCATCGGTGATTTTGGTGCAAATTTAACAAGGGATTCTTGCAAATACAAGGCTCTCTTGCAAACGACACAATGTCTGACCTCACGGCCGTTTTGTTTATGACGTTGCAACACGGGGTGGTGTACATAGACTTTGCACTAATCCCACACTGTGAAGCATGGATGTATGCATCTGTGTTTATGGCCTTCCTATATTAAGAGCAAGGCCAATTATGGAGCTTTTCCTGTAAACAAAATCATTTATCAAGTTCAACTGCAGCTGCCAAGTGTGCGTGTGCTAACACATGGATGCATGTACACATATTTACACAGATGGAAACGCATACTTTGCGCAAACAAATGCTCTCCAAAAGCCACGCCTCTTAACCAGATGGACATGTGGTTTCCATTTAGAGAAAGAGATTCACCACATCAGGGACACAATCAGCTCCAAATAACAGCTCTAGGCTTCAGGCTTACAGGTGGTGAAGTATAAATCGACATATTTATATTACACCACTCATAGCTTCGAGCGGAAGCTACGAAAAAGTAGCTTCCGCTCTTGGGGGTCAGCCGGAGAGAGCGCGAACTTCTCCATCATTTTTCCGCCCGACCTTCTTTAGCCCTGGATCACTGGAGGTCAGTTTTATAACACACAGAGGCCCATTGAGCCCCCAGAACCGTCACCCATGAACCCTGACCTCCGGTCTGGCACATGTGAGTGTGAGATGCCGTTGTCATAGTAACAAATGTCTGCTTAGGCGCTTTGCAAGGTGTCCATGAATGACCAGTCCGACCTTTTCCTCCAGGCGTGTTTGTGGATGTGCAGTGATGAGGATGGTAGGAGGGTGTGAGAGGAAAAGTGGATGCTTCATGGGTGTACAGGCCGTGTATCTGTCTCGGGCACCGCCTGCACAGAGTTGTCTGGAGCCTCATGGGTCAAAGGGGTCTTTGTCTCAGAGGAAGAAAATCTCCGTCACCCATCTTTCCTCGTGCTTCCTCCTGCACAACACTCCTCTGTCCTTAAATAAATCCCTGAAACCTTCCTCCACCCGTTTGAACAGAAAGAAATCAGAAAAACTTAACCAGTCAGAGGTTTACATAAACTCATCATTAGTAAGATTGATTCATTTTTGGCTTTTATTGATGCGTTTGAACTGTTTATTTTTTTTTAGAAAAGGACTATAGAACAAACAAAATTAATGTTTTTTTTTTAAAGCAAAACTTGGGTGCACAAATCTTCTCTACCCCAGAGAAGATCAAAATGTTATCCCGAGAGTTTTAAATGTACACTTACACCCTCACTAACACTTGGATAAATGTTCCTGAGCAAGTCACAGAGATGCCAAACTGCTTTTGTAGCCAATAACAGACTTATCAAAATTGGTGGAGTTATTTAAATCTGTTGGTGTCTTGACATGATCCCATCTTTTCAATACATTTTCAATACATTTTCTATAGGTCTGATGGAGGGGCTAGTCTAAAATTTCATGCAAGACAGCTTTGTTCATTCTAAAGCCATCCTTCGAGCGTGTTTGGGACCATTTCCCTTGGCAACGGATCGGCTTTGTGAGAGTCTTAATAATTCTCTAAACTGTGAATAATGCTTCCTGTGCTGGAAAATGACTAATATGTTTCAGGATAATAAAAATCACAACCACTTTCTAGTTGTTAACTTTTGCAATCCCTGTTAGCACCTTCATACATTTTTACATTTGGGCAAATAAATATCTCAATTTTTTCCATCATCAATTTTAGACTTGTCGTGGCTTTTATGAGCTTTTACTGTTATTGCTGTGCTAATGCGTCGGATTACGTAGAATTTAAGTTGTCCAGACCTCGGCTCGGTGTATGATGCATTTGCCTCTGAAGCTGGCTGTTAGAGCCGTTCATTAACACAGTCTGCTGCTGTAATTTACATGACATTATTAAGCTGAGAATTCCACTCCTCTCACTCAACAATGGCTAGACACGCTTTTGAGTCTCTAACGAACAGTGAAATGTTTCCCCTAGAGGAAAATGTTCTCTTGTGTACATGTCCGGCTCACAATCTGTAATTATCAGCACATCAAGTGGTTTCGCATGCTCTTTTAATTTCATGTTAGGTCATTAGATGTTGTCTTGTTTGGCCCAATACCACAGACTACTTCTTTTATCTTTAATGTGATGCCTTTATATGCATTTGAAGTGTGTTTTATGAGCCAGGGTCTGTTTGTTGCATAGTCTATTTTTTCTCTGTTTGGGAATGTAATGATAGAAGTGATGTCACTCAGCTAGAATCAAGTTGTATAACATATAGTGTAATGCATTACAAATGTTTTCACCCCTTTGAACTTTTCCACATTTTGTCATCTTACAAACTTAACCCTTTCGTGCATAGTGGTCACTACAGTGGACAGCTGTCTAAAAGTCATTTTCTTGTGCTTCTTGTGGATTTTTATGTTATAAATGCACACAGACCAATGAAATGGACACTAATGCATCATAAAATACACTATCAACTACTGGCTGTCAGCTGCAAATGCAAGAAATTATTTTAGTTTAATCCAATATGGCCGACAGACACAAAAGCATGCCGACCGACCCGGTCCCTCCTTCTACTGTAGAAGACTCTTGCAGGTAAAAAAAAAAGTATATATATTGTGACATCAGATAACCCCTAAAGAACAATACTGCTGATGTATTTTTAAAATAACAACTTTGTATTTGGAGAAAATTACAATTGATCACCTAAAAAAAAATAAAAAATAAAAAAATGTTTTTTTTTACAATAAAAAAGGCCTACCTTTTTTATGTATTAAGAAAATTAAAAAAATATTGGAAAAAAAATCCTGACACAAATGATCATAATTCATGCATGAAAGGTTTAATGTATTTTGTGTGGGTAGTGCATAAAGGTGAAGTGGAATATTCATTGCTACAATAAATCTGAAAGGTTTGGTTTGTATTCATGGTCCTTTTTGCTCTGACATCACTAAATAAAAATCCAGTCCCATCTCCAGAAGTCACCCTGTCCGCCTGTTCTGTTCAGTCAGACTGATGAAAGGATTCTGGCTTCCAATGAGACAGAATGAGGAAAAGAATAGCTAAAAGGATGTGAACACGAATGTTTGGATCCTTACCATTGTGGAGTCCACAAAGAATGTGTTGCATAAGAACATTTTTATAAGAACCACAATGACGCCCCTGAATCCCTGTTCACTGAATAGTGGTTTATTTTATTTTATTTTTATTTAGTAGCCCTCAGCTGACTTGTGCTCCACCCTAGTGCTCTCTAATTAGACACCTGTTGTAAGAGAAAGGCCCACTACATAGAAACAAGAACATATACAACTGAACCCCAGTGCCAGCCCATGCCCGCTAGTGCACTGCCCAACCTGTGGTAAGCCGCTGGTTTAATTTTGAAACATGTAATTCAAATGTGCCTTGTTTGTTTAAGTTTATTTAGGGAACAACAGCGTTCCTTAATGTTGTGTGGACAGACCGCCTCCCATTGAATGCCAGCTGCATACAAACTCAAGGTTTAAAGGGGAAGTGTGTGGGATGAAAAGATCTTTAAAACGTCACAGCGTTTAGAAGAGAAGAATTGTACATTGTGAAAAGGAAATATTTCTTTAATAGCATCCCCCCCCCCCCTTAAACTAATAGGAAACAAAAAGACCTCTATAAATGAACAAGGTTGGACTTCCAGTGCCCAGCAACAAGATCTAAAGCCCCTCAAATTTAGCCATATTACAACCACAATCTGTAATGTATTTTAACTGTTTTTTTGTGGCAGACCAGATGGAAATATAAAAAGTGTGTTGCCTCAACAGAGACATAAATCTTTTAGACTCTTGAAATATTTCTTCCAGGATTGCTCTGTATTTAACTCCGTCCACGTCTCTCTGCCTACCTAAGAAAAACATCCCCACAGCATGATTCTGCCACTGCCAAGTCGCACTTTGTGGGAGCAATGTTCAAACCTGCGCGTTATTCTATTAGGATCTTATCTGATCAGAGCATCTTCTTGCAAATTGTTGCTGTGTCCTCTACATTTCTGTGGATCTCTGCAGCTCCTCTAGAGTCACGATGGGCTTCTGGGATTGTTTTTTGATTGATGCCCCGTCGATCAGTTCATGTTTGCAGTCGTTATTCGTTGGTGAGCAGACCTTTCCATGGTACAGTTGTGTTTATGCTGAGATTAAATAACTCGCATATGAACTTTATTTATTAAGTAGGTGACTTGTTTTAAGATTTCAAAGATAAAAGGTAGAACACAAATGCTCATATTTTTGATTGTAAAATATTTGGAAAAACGTGTTCTTCTTTCCTTTGCATTTCTGTTCGTCTTTTACGTAAAATCACAATGAGATACTTGGATTTTGTGGAATAAAGTGTCAAAATTGGCAAAAGTTGATGGAGTATGAATGATGTGGCAAAAAAACCTGATCTTGACTCTACATCATAATGAGGAAGTGATCTTATCTTTTGAAATGTACAAAAAACATAACATCTCTTGTATATTAGTGAATTTTCTGCCTTAGGTGGGCTAGACAAAACTGTCATCAGTTTCTGACAGACCGATCAACTACAGCAGAACGGATTTATGCAGTCTTGTCTGCACCAAACCAAAACGTCTGTTTTTGAATTTTCCTCAAAGGGCATTTTTGTGGAGTTGTATAGTCAAGTCCAAACCCCAAAGTGTTTTTCTTTTCTCTCACTTGGAAAAAAAATGGGTCTTTGAGAGTCTAGTTGACAGTTGGTGTCGGCTTTTGATGCAGCAGATCAGACCTCGACCATTAAAGCCTCGTTGTTTGTTTGGAGTGACCCCAACAAAATCCCGTGACCCAGTTCCTAAAGCACTCATGGCTATTCTTCTACACTCATCACCAGCTAACCCTTGACCTCTGAACTGGGATAGGTTAGGGGCCTTAAAGTGCCACATCACATGCAGAGAACAGGGGGTAAGTCAGAAATTCAACAGGAAGGACTCTCAGGGTTCCTGAAAGCAGACAGTCAGACGGGTTGATGAGCGTTGTTGCAGCCCACCCCCCACGCTCCTGTCTGCAGGCTACAGCTCAAACCCAAAAGCAGTTATAGATTCGTTCCCTGGCTCCCAAAGTTTCTTTGCTGAACCTTCCCATGGGGTGGGGGGTGGGGGGGGTGCTGGATAGACTGCGAGGGTTCACATTACCAACGTGCTGCCATGACTGATCTTGCTCCGTTTCTGTCCATCTCCTCATAATCTGCCAGCGCAGACAGACGTGGAGATCTGCGGTGAAGTTCAAACTCGCAAGTCTGTGACATTGGACTGTCAGCATTAGTCATTAACATGCCTGGCTCTTGTGTGTTTGTTTGTGGCTGGATGTATGGAAGTGGGGGTTGGATCGTGAGCCAACTATGGACAGGAAAACACAGCCATATGTTGGAGCGGCTCCAGGGAGCCCCATTTTCCATGAGCCCCCCTGCGTCATCAACCCCAAATACCACATGCACACATCCACCCACCCACACACAAAGTTAAAACATATTAGCAGAATGGCTCAGTTTCTCCAGACTTTCCTTAATCGTATCTCTGCTATGGCAAAGGCACACATCATGCATCTTTACACGTAGACTGAAAAGAATCCTGCAATATTTTTTATGTGTTTTGTTTTATCTGATGTTTTTTTCTAGGGTGACCCTGGCCCCCATGGGAATCCTGGTAGACCTGGTCCACCTGGGCTAAAGGTAAACGGTCTTAGTCAGACTTACAATCATAATCATTTTGTTTTCTTAAAAAAGACACACACAAAAACAAACAGTAAATCATGCCTTTATATCTGCCTTAATTTGCTTGTATATCTGCAGAGACATGTTGCATATTCGTTTTGTTTTTTTTTTTGTTTTTTTTTTGTGCGTGCTTTAAGGAAAACAAGACTATGGAGTTTTACTGCTGCAGAAGTGGGGTCACTAAAGTTCACAGCAAAGCCACTATACTTGACAGCTCATTAACTCACTAACGCCACTCCGCTTATGTTAGAATATCCAAACCGAACGCAAGTTATTTTAGGCTTTAATTGTTGACACGATATTATCCAATGTTTGAATAAGTTTATAAAAAGCCGTGCACAGCTTTTTGCAGTTTCTGTGTGAAGGCTGACTCTGTGCTTCCACCGTAACCTGAGCACAGAGAAGAGAACAAGTACATTGACACCAGAGGGGGGTCGAAATGATTTACCCAGGTGTCAGGGAAAGACATAAGGAGTCGGAAAATAAGAACTCCAAATAAATCTTACCTATTTTGAAGTGTGAAAAGGAGATGACCTTGCCCGAGGCAAATTCTGCATCCTCCATAACGGTCTGAAATGTTGTATGCATTAGCAAAGACTCTTGACCTTTGACTTTGTGTGTTTGGAACACAGACTTAGAAGTACAATCTTTATTTCAAGTTTTGTATAAAAAATATATAATTAGTGATAATTACTTAGACATAGAGAAGAATGGGGATGAAGATAGGGGATTTAGATGACTTTGCCAGACTATTATTGCCAGACAACAAGGTCTGAACAATTCAGAGACTTTCATCTACAAGAATCCCATCCAGTTTGGTGCCTTAATTTGGGCGAAACTTTTTTTTTTTTTTTTTTTTTTTTTATGAGAGGTTAGAGAAGAATGGGCAGACTGGTGTGAGACAAGGCAATGGTACCTCAAATAGCCAGTTGCTACAGCCAAGGTATTTAGATTACATGTTACTGCCAACATATCAAACCCTGAAGCTGGTGGGTTACACCAGCAAAACAACACATGGGTGTCACTCTTGTCAGCTAAGAATATTAAACTGAGGCTACAATTACACTGAGTCTACAGGCTCACCAGAACTGGACAGATTGGAAGGGCGTAATGCTGCTGGTGGTATTTCACTGGGACTTCCTGGGCACTTTAGTGGCAACACAGACATCCTAAGTAATGTTTGCGATCATATACACCTCTTAATGATAGGAGTGGGTCCATCTTCTAATAGCTACTTCCAGCAGAATAATGCATCATGTCAAAAAGTTCTTATCAAATCGCGTATTTGAAGATGACTATGAGTTTGCTGCTCTCCAAAGTCCTCTACAGTCATCAGAACTCAATCCAGTAAAGACACCAGTGGGAAGTGGTGGATTGGAAGACCACTTTCACTTTGTGTAGCAGATGAATCTGCATCACCACTGTTTGGTGCTATTATGTCAGCATGAACCAAACTCCCTGAGGACTAACTCTGCAACCCTTTTGAACCTTCACCATGAAAATTGAAGGTAGTTCTGGAGGAGAAAGGGATTTCAACCCAGAAAAGATTAATAAATCCTATAAATGTAGCTGCTAAATGTAGAGAGCTTTTCCTTTTGTTTCACTGATATAATAAATCAATATCTTACCTTAATTTTTTCTAGATATCTGCAATTTGCAAGTGCATTATAAGGAATTGTATTTATTGTGTTTCTTATTTAGAGTTAACACAGTAACTATAACTCCCAAGATTTGTTTCTTAATATCTTGCTTACGGCCCACATTAGATAAGCAGAGGGGTTCAGACACGCCTATATCACCAAGGAGATTTTGGTGTCTAGTTCTGAGGTGATGGTTTGATGAGGTGGGACAGCCTAAGCCTTGACAAATCAAGACAAATCCAGACTGTTGAGTCAAACAATAAAGTTCTCGCTTATCCGATCGGACCACGTTCTTTCCCTCTCGTAGCATCATGGGATATGAACTATCAATGAAATATTGAGGTATTGAATACAAGCACCTTAAATGAATTCAGCTGAGAGAGGAACTTTGTCATCATGTAGTCTCTTGAGGTTTGAGTCCCTGTGTCAGTTTTGTTTGTTCAGGCAGACAATCAGAGTGCCTCCTAAACACTTCTATTTTGAGTTTTCCCACCGGGAGATGACCCAGAACACACCAGAAGGGCTGTACTTAACCTCTGGTCTGCAAACGCATTGCGATCCCTAAGAATATACTGGAAGGATGGTAGGAGGGATGCTTTGGGTTTCCCCCTGGACCTGTTACCTGCAGATCTAGTTTTGAGTAAACAGAAAACAGTGGACTGATGGACTTTCTTAACTTTTTATTGTTGTAATTCAAAAGGGGCTGTGCACTGAACCAGTGACAAAATTATAGCCATCTGCTTAATATTAAACAGTCTAATTTTGTTCCTCATAAAAGACCATGGATCATTAGAGAGTTGCAACCTTTTTGTGTATCTTGTGTTGCCTTACACCAGGACTTTTCATTTGTGGATCTGAAACTTTATTTATTTTTTACAGTAATATATCATGACTGCCAGGTCCAACATCTCCTAGAAGAATATTTCACTGATCTTTTTTTTTTTTTTTTTTTTTTCTTAGTTGTCAGTGTTGTGGATTGAGTACGCCAGTTGTTATTGGTGTCCAATATAGTTACACACTTCAACAAGGTTCATCGTACAAAACATCTCTAAAAGTCATGAGATATTATCCTGTAATCTGAGCTGCCATCAGATAATAAATCTTCCCACCTTTTCATTCTCACACTCAGCCAAGCCACTTCACTGAGAAAGCTCATTTCTAGTTTTTAAAAGAAAAAAAATCATAAACAGCAATGTAGAACGATCATGAGTGAAGATTTAAAATCCCACATGAATCATCAGTCAGGTCTGTTGTTTGGCAACCTGGCAGAGATTATACTCCCCCTACCTGGTAAGTGTGTTGAAAGGAAAATTAGGAGGGTTTTTGTGTGGGGGTTGGGGGGGGGGGGGGGGGGTCACTGCAGTTTTTGCCCTTTCATCATTAATAAATGAAGCAAAGTTGTAAATGCTGGCAGCCCGAAGGGCAAAGAGAGGGAGCCAGCACCCACTCGGTGTAATTTCCAATTCATTGCTTTGATGTGCTGAAACCCTGTTATTGTTACCTGCTGACAATGAAGCTTGGTACGTATGTGTGTGTGTGTGTGTGTGTGTGTGTGTGTGTTGGTGTGGGAGACTGCAGCCGCCCTTAATCAACTAAGAAATCCATGCCTATTATTGTATGAATTTTGCTTACTGTGTAGCTTTAAGCTGTGACTTTTCACAGAATAGGTATAATTTTGTCATTTTTTAAATGTTTGTCAGAAGCTGTGGGATTAAAATATCTGCCATTTGGATATATTTAATGCATATAAAATTATCTTTCTCAGGGGAGAAAAGGAGATCCTGGCATTTCACCTGGGCCAGCACCTAAAGGAGAGAAGGTATGTCTTCGTCTTTTATGGCTCCTACTGATCTGCAGCGTCCTTCTATGCTTGTTCTCACTGATCTTCTTGCATTGCATTTCAGGGAGACTCAGGGATTATTGGCCCAGTTGGACAGCCTGGACAAGAGGGCCGAAAGGTAAGGTTAAATAACTACCTCAAACAGGATAAATATCCTTAGCTGACCATTTACCAGCTTTTGTTGGAAGTGAGCACACCAGCCAGATGTCATAGAAAGAGTCCCTTAAAATATCTTAGAATCGGATTCTGCATGAGTCACTTGCATCACTTCATAATCGTTCAGTGCCAGTGCTGTGTCAGCGCGATGTGTTTGGTATGTAAAGGTCCTTACTTCCTGCTTCTCTCCTCCTCTCTTTCTCCTGTTGTGCCTCTTTAGTTTTTGAATGTTCACCAGATTCTGTGGAAATGGGTTCTTACAGATAGCACAAATTACTTCTTTTTTTTAACAAATAAAGGAAGACTATATTTTTCAGCAGTGAAAACGGTGATGTCAATCACACTCCCACTCGAAATTACACACTTTGGGTTTTCCATAAGAAAAAATAGTGGAGTTATATTTTTGATTGACAGGGGTGTAACAAGCATGATATTATTTCAGTGTGGTTTATTATATGAATCATAGGTATATAGAAAAAGGTTGTTTATTGTCCTGCCATGTGCGTTTTCATTCTTAATGTGTCTCTTCTCTGTTGCGGTTCCACAAGAGAGGAAGGCAAATCCAAAACCGGTTCTTGCTTTGCCTTACAGTGGCATTTTTATTTGCTCCTGCATTGTTTTTGCATGAGTTCTATAAAGTTTGGGTAGGTCCAACTCGTAGGAAAATATGAGGGTTGGTTGACCTTTGGCTTAGCGTTGTTGCAGAAACACAAAGGTTAAAGACTTCTGCTTTGAGCTAGAGTACTAAGATACTTCTGCATTCTTTATGGTTTTGATACTTCACTCTGTTTTGAATTTTTCCCATCCCTATCAAGCTAGCATTCAATTAGCCATTGTCTATATCTGCGTGTCCACATAGGGTCATGGGGTTGATGATGCCTGTCTCTGTCAGCCAGTGGGCGTGAGACTGGGTAAAACGTGTACGGCTCAATAGTCCAATATCACAGGGCAACACAAAGACATAAAAGACAAACAAGTGCACAAGCACATACTCATACCTACAGACATTTTAGAGACCAATTAGCCAAACTGTCATATTTTTGGACTGTGGGACGGAGTACTCAAAGATACCCCAGGCCAGGATTCAAAGCATTTTGCTGCAAGACAACAGTGTTACCAGCCTCACGATTCAACTCAGATTTTTATATTCTCAAAGTTCCTAAAACAGAATTGAGGAGCTGCACAAAGCGCTCTCTCTTAACTGAACAAAACACCTCCAGCTAGTCAGACATAGCCTTGGTAACATGCATCTGGCCTTTGCAACTTTTCGCTATGTTTATGTCTACTAGGCCTATCAACTGATTCAACTATCATGCTGGAATGTAAATGTTGGTATTGCAGACCTTGAAAAAAGAACCACGTTGCTCCATATTCCTCCGGTTGCTTTGCATAAGAATTCTGCATGAACCCCAAAACCTGAGATGAGTTTATTGAAATTAATGCAACGGGAAAGGTGAAATTTATTCCACATTCCCCTGACGTATTTTGGTGCTTCTTACTGCCGGACTGGTCTTTTTCCGAACAAACAGAAGCAAAGAGGAACCGCTGCCAGTCACGTTCTGTATTCGTTACAGCTGAGCCATGCAACCTTGTCAAACAAAGTCGAAGCATTATTAGGTAATTGAATACAACAGGCCGCTTATGTGCATTTCAGTAGAGGTGTAAAGCTTGTCTGCATGTAGTACCTTTCTTCCCAGAGTCAAAATAGTGTGTGGATGAGTGTCAGACTCCAGCAGGGTTTTATTTTTTTTTACCTCAAGCTTAACATGTGGCTTTTGTTAAGAGCCTGCTTTTCCATGTGTGTGTGTGTGTGTGTGTGTGTGTGTCTATCTGAGTGTTTCTACCTCTTTCTTTCACCCACACTGACACACTGAGCCAGAATGGAAAAGAAATTAGGATAGTGGAAAACATTTACAGATTCCTTTTAAGCGAGATAGAAGTGATTTGAAGGCCTATTGGAAGGTTAGCCAGTGATGCATCAATCAAGTTGACTGTGACGACTGATTCACATGTTGTAAAGCTCATGTGCCGTGTCTCTCAAAAGTATTTACACCCCTCAAATGGTTGCGATATTTTTTTCATGTGCCGACCAGAAACTTTCATTTGTTTTTGTGGGATTTTGTGATTACCCGACAAAGAGCAGCGCATCACTTTGAAGCAGAGCAAAAGTAAAATCCTGAAAAGCATGGCAAGCGTTTGCAAACAGGCCCGTGGTGAATGGGAGAGCTGCAGAGACACTTTGAAAGAGTAGCTCAGGCAATACTAATACTTCAATCGCGTTCAAAATTATTGCTCACTATAAAGATGAGATCATCAATCAGGAAGAAGGATGAAGAGTGAATAACTTAATCATGCACAGCAGCTTAAGTGTCCAGTAGCTTCTCTTTAGTAAACCTCACAAGCAAATTGTAGCTGCTACATATCAGAGTGACATTATAGCTTGGCGTCTGGACCTTTATTGCCATAGCAACATTAACAACACGCACACAAATAGGCTGACCTCACTTGAGGAAGACTCAGGTATTGTTGGCGGTGCCATGTGTGTTGACGATAAAGGAAGCTTGTTAAATTAACCCCAAAGAGGTAACATCTTTCCATACAGGAGACAAACAGGCTTACTCAGCAGAGAACAATACGCAGGAACCAGCTGTAGCTCCACTTTTGACAACTTTCCATGCGATGACAAATGCATGAATCAGTCTCCTGACTCTGCGTCTTTGTTGTTCCACTTCACAGTCGGCTCAGGTGGAAAGTCCCGACGCAGGTCTTCTCCACCAAGACATACGCCGAAATACTCAAAACAAACTTAAGCTTTTATAGTTATGTCATTTGAAGTTCATCTCAGAACTGTCTGCATAGGTTCCCTGCTGTTTAGCTTTGAGTTCTGTGGTCGAGGACAGTGGGCTTTTTTCCTGCATCTTTTTTCCATTCCACCTCTTTTTTAAGACACTGTTACACACCCACCCCGGTCCGCACAACAGAGCGGACCCTAAATCTGCCTTATGCTTGATGCTACGAGCGGGAATTCAGGAATTTGGCTGTGAGGTTTTCATGGAAAACTTTTAATGGAGAAAGCAGCGGTGCTTTAAAAGCGCCATAGTCGAGTGTGATTTTACACCACTGGCCAGGCCGAGCATGTTCCGCTCTGTACAACATTTGTTCTACTAAGCAGACCCTGAATGGCTTTTCAGTATGGCGGGCAGGGTCAGGGAGAGGGGGACATGCGCCGAGCCAAACCTCAGCTACAAGGCCACAACACAGGCCACACGTCTTCCCGTTGTGGCTGCGTCTCCTCTCTCTGCTACATAAGCCGTCTCTTCTCACTCGTCTCAGCTTTTCCCTCCTGGAGATGATGTGCATTTCATGGCATTTCAAATAGATATGTCATTCATGCACCCATTTTTTTCAGTCAGCTCTGTAAAATATAGTGACCATCCTCAGAGACATTAGTTTTAGGTCGTGTTATAAGAAACTCTACACGTCTATTCTCTTTTCACATGTACCATGGTTTGAGGCTTTTTAACACAGTAGTCTCCAGTGCATCCACATGCACATTTAGAAGAACTCAGTATTTTCCATTGTAGTGGGGAAGCTCAGTTGTTTTTAATTGGACTGCATCCATTTTCATGCAAAGAGGAACTTTAGCAATCCCAGAAAGATTACCCCATAAAACATAAGTAAAATGGTTTGATGTAATGTCCCTGAAGAAGCTAAAATAACTCATAAATCATTCCATTTTTTTATGCATAGCAGGTTTTCGTGTGACACTCTCTCTGTGGCTACTCAAGACTTGTTTCGAATAAAACTCTCATTGTGTTTCTGCTCCTTGTTTTCAGGAATACCTGTTGCCTTTTTTTCCTCTGCGTCGGACATGAAATCAAATTAAACCTTTCCTGTTTCAACTCAGTCAGGATTACTGTAACGTTACAATGGTATATATTGGTAAATAATATTTCCTCTTCCTAAATGTCAGAATATTAAGAAATACAATTTTTTTTTTTTGAATTTTGTAACTTTCTTCAACTTTTAAACGACTGTAAGCATTTTAATAAAGTCTAGACTATGATTTCATGGTTTCTAAGATTCCAGTTGGTTAATTTACAACATTTCAATTAAGAAGAGCCACATTTGTGGAAGTATTTTAACACACTTTGCTAGAGCTGTCATTGACAAAGACCTTAATTTTTGTAGAAATGTCCTTTGCTCCGATGAAATAAACAAGTGTTTGGACTTCTAATTTTTGATTTTCCTTTTTAACCCTCAATCTGAAAGAGTAAGACATTTTTAAATGGAAAATTTGTTGAAAGCCTGTTATTTGAATTTTTCTGACAAAATTTTGTTTTTATCTATTTCAGTAACTGAATTAACTGAAGTGAGACACATATAGTTCATTTACACGGAGACTGATGTTTCCAAACCTTTATTTTTGTTAATTATGATGAATCTTCGCTTACAGTTCGTGAAAACACGTCATTTCTGAAAAGATCAGAATATTAGATTACGTCAGACCAACAAGGAACTTTTTTTTTCTTCCACAGAAATATGAGATCAATGAAAAGCATGTGCAACACCTACTTAAATTATTTTCGAAAGGTACTTTTAATCTGTCAACCGAACCTCAATGGAAAACATATTCCGACTTACAGTGACGTCGCTGTAATGATAACACCACAAGGTAAATTTTATCCAAATTGTCCATTTAGTTCAGACTGTTTATCTGTTCCAGGCAGACATCGACGTTTATGTTCTCCTGTACATGCAAGCGTGCAAGGAGCCGGATAATTTCTGAGCAACCTTCTGGCTCCATGCCTTCACGGATCTTGGAGAGATGAAAGCTTAAACGAAGGAGGTGTTTGTCTTTCAGACCACCGGTGTAATGTGAAGTGTGATCTTTGGTGTAGGAACAGGCACATACTCAGTTGAGCATCCCAGAAGTCAAATGTGTACAGAAAAGAGAAACTAAATAGCCTGCCATGTCTTATCATGGGTAGCTCTCCTGGCACACTTAGGAGGTTATAGGATGCTACTGGAGAGCTGCTGCGAAATGAAAGCGTTCTGGTGGGGTTGATCTGATTGCACACACATGCTTGTTAAACAAGTGCTACTGTAAATACACTCGCGCTGATGGGAATGGCTGCTCTCGTTAGAAAAATAATGACGAGTGAGATAAGGATCTGAGACGACACGGCTTAGCTTTGGAGGCTCCAGTTAATGCACAGGATCCACAGCATGTGTTTGCATGTGTGTGTACTGGGGGTTCTTTGATCAGCCTGGGAAAACAGACCCTGTAAATGTTTCTATCGCCGGGTATATAATCTAAAAAGATGGGAAATAAAGAGGCACACACATCACAGTGTGTTCATTTGTAAGGTTGTCCTACTTCAGTTAAAAACACATTGCTCAGCTCATGCACGTAAAACTGAATCGTTTCTTTTTTCTTTCTGTCCCGGTCAATTAAATTAGTAAACGTTTTTATTTGGCGAACCTTCTTCAAAAAGTGAAGAAATCTTAATGTTGTGACCTTATTCTGATCTCAGATTTTTGTGAAGTTTTTACTGACTAACAGCAGTAATAAAACCTTCCTGTTTCTCTTTCAGAACTATAAAAATACATAAGAACATCATTATAGACTTCCCGTCCTCCGGGGCGATTAGTACTTAATTTTTTTTTTTTTTTAACAGAGGTTCAGACCTCAAATGGTAAAAACAGAACAACTCTGCAGAACAAAAAATAAATAAATAAATTAGCCTTCCTGTTATCTACTGAAAGTTTTACTCTCTGTCAGTTTGTTGTGTACAGAGCTAAATGGGGTCTAAAATGCACAAAGTTTCACCCCATCCACGAATTAATAGTGAATATTTCTTCTTGGGACATGAAGATTATATAATTTGTACTAATTCACGGACACAAACGTATATCATGCAAGTGCATTTGCAGGAGCGAACCGTTCATCCCTGAATAAACATTTATTCAATCTTACCACAATATGGTGTGCACAGTTCATACTCTTAAGATTAAAATCAGCTTTAATAAAGATTTAGAGCTCTGATACGGGGATGAGAGCTTTGGGTTTTCTTTCTGCACAAGCGAAAATGTGTGTGTGAAGAAATGAATTGAAAAGCTAGCACGCAAACTAGACTGTCATCATTTTCTTTCTTTTTTGCAGTTGCTTTTATCTCTCTCTTTGCTGTATGTGCCACTCCTCCACTACTGAGCTCACTTGACTTCTAGTGATGCTTTTTAAATAAGATATATGATTTAGGAATGATAATGGGATTCAGGCCTTTTTGGCTTTCATGAGTTTAGCAGAATTGTTCTTAGTTTATTTATTTTCAAATGTAATACTTTGTTGATACATTTTGTAGCAGCTAATCAGAAGCAGAGATCCATGTTTAGGATGATATTTTAAAGTCCTGAACCTCTAAGCCAGTGATAATGTCCATGTAAAATACTTGCAACCTGGTTACTTCATCCCTTTTCTGCTGCCAAAATCAAAAGATTTAGGCCACTCTGAACCCAGACAACAGGAGTTTTTCCATATTTACCATGTCTGTTTTTACTTTATTTTTTTTTTCTCTTTCTCCTTGTTTCTGCCTTGTTCTCTCAATCTATCAAGCTGTGGTTTGCGGTGGCATGTCCTCCCACATTTTATTTAGTTTTTCTACACTCATTGACTGGGGTTTGTGTTTCTGGAGTCAGCAGATCTGTGGAAAAACACAATCGGGTTCTCTTTCGTCTTGCAGTTGCCCTGCACGCAGTCTGGGAGTCCTGATATCTGACTCAAACAGGAAGGCATTTATATCCTCAACATGCCATGAACCAGGCACCAAAACTCTGTGAACGCAGCCAGTGGAAACTCTGATCCTTTGACAAAAAAGCAGATTGATTTCTTGCATATGGCACTAAACCGGTCTGTTGGTGTTTTTATTTTTAAAATTCTTTTTTTTTTTTTTTTTTAGCAAATTTGCCATTCGCCAACTAGAGATCCCTTTAAGCATGTGCCATAATTGAAGTGGAAATCTTTTCGTCTCACATTTGTGCTTTCTTTCATCTGCTATACCCACACTCATCCTTTCTTATTTTTGTTTCTGCAGGGACAGAAAGGACACCCCGGTCCACCCGGACTTCCTGGAGAGACAGTATGTATTTTTCTGCAGTTTATGCATGTTTAAACTCTTGTTCCTTTTATTTTTCACATGCTGCTGACATTAGGTTGGCAATTTTTTTCTTTTTACGCATCTTACTCATGGTGCCTCAGAATTCATTGTCTTTTTATTGGGGTTNTACGTGATAAACCAACACAAAGTAGTACATAATTTTGAAGTGGGAGGAAAATAATTGCAATTCTATATTTTTAAGGAAAATGTAAGAGGCACTGCATGCATTTGCATTCAGTCCCCTTTACTCTGATACTCCTAAATGAAGCTAAGTGCAACTATGGCCTCCTGGGGAAAACAGCAGACATGTGGACGAAGGTTTTCTTATTAGATGAGACACTGACCCCTGGACTCACTTAGAGCTATCTGTCTAGTCAGTAAAACATAGTGGTGGTGCCATCATGCGGTAAGGATGCTTATCTTTAAAAGGGACAGGGAAGCAGGTCTGAATTAATGGAAAAGTAGATAAAAGTAATCCACGGAAGAAAACCTGTGCAACTTCGAAAGGCTGAACTTTGTGGTGGAGATCAAAGCACATTCATACGCTCAAATGGCCAAGTCAAAGTCTTGAACTTAATAAAATTGAGAAGCTGTGTCTAGACTTGAAAATTGATCTTCACGGATGCTTTCCATCCAATTTGATCGGAGCTCAGAAAAGAAATGTGAGAAAATTCGGCCTCTGCTGGTGCAAAAGATGGTCCCACAAAGTGTTGACTCAGCGTTGCTGAATGCAAAAGCGTGTCAACTTCTCATGCTTTGATTCGTGGAAAATAACATTATAAAATGTGTAAACATTCATCAGGTATTAATATTTTTGCAGTGCACTGTTTGTGCTGTTTTTCACAGGGTCTTTAATTTTAAGGATCCACTCATCAGCTTTCATCAGTGTCCTGCTTTCATCTTGTGCACTTAAATCTAATCCTTCAGTCTTACATTCATTATCTAACTCCTTAGTCATCATTTATAGTTGTTTGACCTCTCTGACTGTCTGTCTGTGCGTGCGTGCGTGCGTGTGTGTGTGTGTGGGTGTGTGTGTGTGTGTGTGTGTGTGTGTGTGTGTGTGTGTGTGTGTGTGCGCGCGCGCGAGAGGACCCTACGTTAGCCTGCAGCGTAGCCAGATTAGATTAGTCTGTTATGAAGCGCTGGTGAGAACTGACATCTGGATGTAGCACTGTGTTGCAGTGACGCTCCTCAGGATATTAGAAAGTGATGCCAAAAAGAGAGAGAGAGAAAAAATAGAGTGGAGAAACAAGAACAAGCCAACTAGGCCAGCAGTGACACATTCATGGCTATTAAACTGCAGCCCTGTAGAAAGTCTCCCCATTGTCTTTGTTTCTGTCTTCCTGTTGTTGCCAGCATCCAAACAATCACATTTGTAACTACAGATAATTAACTGGGCAACATTCCTCTCCCTGCTAAGCTTATTTGTTTCTCTTTTTTTTTTCTTTCTTTCTTGCATAAGTGCATTGAGAGTGCAGAAACACTCAGGTTCCTTATTTGTGCAGAGAAACTTGGATTTAATTAAGTAAGCCTCCATGACATCATCATCATCATCTCAGGGAGTTCCCACTGCGCTCTTTACAAAGAGCGAGCACTTTGTCTCTCTTAACAGTATCTCCTACATGTGTCCACCCTCAAACGCCCCCCCGTTTCCCACAGATCTGCTGCTGCTGCTGGTTATGATGATGTGGATGATGGTAATGGTCTGAGTTTGCAGTTTGAATCACCATAGCACCACCGGCGTCTGACTAACAGGCACAACTGTTTGGCATTGTGCGCTCCACAAGCCAGCTGGTGCTCATGCAGTTCTGCTGACTTTGTTACTGTAATGTACGTCTGGCTGAGGTACATTGGCTCAACACCCCTCGTTCCTCTCACACACACACACCCACATGCAAACACACACACACCCGCCCTCCCTCTTTGCTGGCCAGTTGAAGATCTGAATCCAGCCCTGGCCAAAGCCTTGTCTCCTTCTAACTAGCAGCATTATGCACTATATTTATCCAGGAGAGGGAACGGCAAGTGGCAAGCGTGGGCTGCGTCAAAGGAAGTTATACACGGATACTGGTTCTCTGTGACATTCGGACACAACCTGCTTTGAGTGTGTGTTTGTTATGCTTTCCAGAAGTTACATAAACACGCATAACCTCCTAATCAGCATCTGCAGGGTCCTCGACAGAAAACATTTGGGAAAGAGAGGAGAAAAGAACAGCTTTCATCAAAGGCAACGGCTGTAATGTGGTTTTAAGCACATCCATAAGTCATCGCGATGCATTATGAGACTCTGCAAAGCTAATTATCTACCATCCTCATCTTATGCAATCGCTGGTAGGGAAGTCTAGGAATTATCCTGATTATTGAAACAATGTATTTTATGGTTTATAATGCTAAGACCTCTTACAGAAATAAACAGAAGAATTTCATTTCAGTCCATGGTGCCAAAAAATTTTAACTGGAGGTCCATCAACTTCCATCATTCAGATAATGTTCTCTATGCATCACTGTAATGTAGCTCACACATTGGTAGTGAACTGCAACCCACTGAATTGTTTTGTTTGTGCATAAAATTTCTGATGGTCTAGTTAGGTCAGAAATTTAGTCAAATCAAACTTTAATTATATTTAGCTTAGTATGTAGTTCCCTGGAAAGAGACATATTTACTCCGGAGATTGATTTTAGTAAGTTATGAAACTGATTTTTGGGCATTAATATGATTTGAAGCTAACTTTAAATGCATTAAATAATGTTGAAACGCCTGTGCATTGTAGTACATCTGCATTTACAAATTTACAGTACAAAATTGTTGAATAAATAAACCCAAACTAAAAGCAATTGCAGCAGATATTATTCACTCCTTTATAAGACATTAGTGGGGAATCTAAATGTAGAAATGAACCATATTGAAACATGAAATATCTGAATGGAAAAAGCTAAGATTTACTGGTACAGGTTAGATTTTTGAGTCATTTATTTCATACATGGTTACTATAAAGAAGCATTAAGAGGATTTTTCACTGTGAAGAATGATTTGTCGTTTATTTAAGTAGCAGATATGACATGACACGGGATGTGCAGTAAAGCAGTATCTATTAGACAGCATCACAGATGAACGGGGTTTCACTCTTGTTCTAGAAAATCAAAATTATTTCACTATATCCTGAAAGTACTTGCTGTAAATGGATAGCTTTGAGCTTTTTTCACACAGCAACAACTTTCACACTGGGATATCGTCATTATAAGTTGTGTAAAATCCGATCACTGACTGGAAAAACCACAGGATATTTAGCTTCCAATATGCTGACCACAGATTAAAGTCAGTCAGGTGTAGAATCATCCAGTGCATCAAACAAGTCATTGGTACATTTCTGGTAAAATCACCTGTTTAATAAAGATTTATTCCTCTTGAAAAATGTCCTCACAGTCTGACCGAACTATTTTACGTGTAACATTTATCACTGATTTGTATAAAGCAGTTTGAGTGTTCTTTGGGGCTCCTCAAGTACCTGCTTATGTGACTTATAACTTGGACCATATCTTGATTAGGATTTACAAATCAAGTCGTAGTTGTGTTCATGTTGTTCATCTGTCCCACTTCTCTTTCTCTTCCTTCCACTTCTTTCTTTCTCTTTCCACCCACCAGGGAGAGCAGGGTCCAATCGGAAGCCCAGGTGCCAAAGGTTATCCTGGCAGGCAGGTGCAGTGAATCCTCTGCTGTGACTGGTACAGTTGTGGTCAGGGCCAAAGAAAGGCAGAGAGCCAGAGTGGAATTAGTTTATACTGGTCAGATGACCTGGAATAAAAAAATAAAAAAAAGTCTTGGAAAACACTAAGCAGGTTACCTACATTAAGTCAGAAAATGTTCAGCGTTAATAGCTGCACTCTCCCTTACCGGGATGCTCAGCTGGAGCATTTATCAGACATGAGATAGAATTGATTCCCCACATATTATTTTGAATGTGTCTTTTGCTTTGTATGGAGGAAATGTCATGTTTTTATATTGTATCAACAATTATTGTGCATCCCAGAGCTAGAACAGGTTTAGACAGAGGCTTGTTCTCTTGATGTACGGAGCAGACAAAAATTAAGGTGTTAAATTTGTGTTCATTCTTCTTACTTCTCAGGGTTTACCGGGACCTATTGGACCAAAAGGGCTGAAAGGCGTTCGGGTAAGGGGACGTGCCGTTAAAGTTTGATTTTATCTGATAAAATTATAAAATGTGGTGCTTTGGCGTAATTAGTAAAAGCGATGACCAGCAAGGCAGCTCATTGGCACTTCTCTCTCCACAATGTTTGTAGAAGGGGGGCACGTAAATCTTTGTTTAGCCACAGAACGTTTTTTTTGGGGGGGGGGAGTTTAGCGCCTCACACTACGAGTCCTTTATGCTGTAAATGCGGTGCTGCATGAAAGCATGCTTGTGTAGCTCAGTGAAACAACATCTACATGCATGCATGCATGAAAAGAATGCGTGTACTTAGTGCTCCAGCATCCACCTCTGCACACATAAACATAATCTCGGTCACCCGTGCAGTACGCGCCGCTATTAATAGTGGGCTAGAAAGGTAGCGCCCTCACACGAGGCGTAAACACCGTGTTGGTTCATACAGTAGCCTTTTTGAAAGTCTGTTAGTCAATAAGCTTATGCATACACACAGAAAGAAACACAGTCGAGGACACAAACTGATTTTTGTGTTGTGTTCCTATAAAGGTCCTTTATCAGCTCTCCTTGGCTTGTCCAAAGTCTTCCCTGCCCCCGAAGGCTGGAATTTCCTGTTTAAGCTCCGTCTGACGCCCTGCTGTCTTAAGGAGGCATTCTAGTCCCTTCAACCCACCCCCCCACACACACTCTCGCTGAGCCACCTTTTCACATTTCCCCTCCCCGTTTTGGTGCATATTCCACATTGTGCAAATGTAAACCTGCTCAGGTTCATGCTCATCAGTAACACGCATCTCGACTGTTCCCCTACAGTTCAACTGTGACGTTTGTGCTTGTTTTCCTCTGTGTGCGCGTGTGTGTGTGCGCGCGTGTGTGTGTGCGTGTGTGTGTTGTCTCCACTGCACTGACAGCCCAGTGTGTCGCCCACGGTTATCTTCAGAGATCCCTGGCGTGAGGGTATGTGCCCTTGGACTACATCGTGGAAGCCAGCACCATGCAGTCCATGGGCATATACACTTGCCTCATGGCTTGGTTCTTCATGGAAGCCCACCCCATGCTGGAATGTCGGGCCCTGAAACCCAGCCTCAGAGCTGAAGGGAGCTGCTCTTCTCCTAGCTGCTTGTATTGGGTCGAAGCACTCACAACTGTGCCCTTGCTTTCTTCTCTTTTCTCCTGCAGGGTTTCATTGGAATCCCAGGCCTTTTTGGCCTGCCTGGCCCCGATGGCGAAAGAGTGAGTTCTTCTCGAATGTACACACTCTCAAGTGCTGTCAGACAGACGCTGACCAAGTGGACCTTAATCCACATTCTTTAACTTTGTCACATTTTCTATTGTTACTACCACAAACTTTAATGTATTTTACTGGGATTTTGCATGATGGATGCTTTTTTTATAGTACTTTGTAAAATAAGATTCTACTGCAATTACAGATGGCCTGAGCCCGACCTGAACCCGGACTGGATTTTGGGCTGGTGTTGAGCCAGAATTATTTGCTTTACAGTCAGGTTCGGGTTGGACTCGGGCTTCTGTGGCGTGCTTAAAAGGCCTGCGATACATACAGCACATAAAACGGAAACATGAAAGCACGATATAACGTTGTGTTAATCTACTTATATTGTCGAAATAGAGAGGTAGATAGTTTAACTTGTTGAGGGAATAAAGAAAGCAAGTAGGAGGCAAAAGTTCCTCAAACTGTAAGAAGCAGCATAGATATGAGGCAAACTTCAAACTGATTTGTGCTTGGCTCATCCTGCTGTTACAACAAGCAACAAAATAGAGCAGTATGACGTTAAACCAACGCTAAAAACAGGAGAAGTTACACTGTTTACTCAAAATGTGGTCTAAACACAAAAGCCATAGAAGCTTAGATAAAATATGTCGGGTTTACTTCGGGCTCAGGACTGTATTTAAAGTTAACTGGTCGGGTCGGACACAATGCTTCTGGCCTCATGCCGGGTCATGTTGGATGTTTTTAGGCTCGATCTCAATTCTAATTTAGGTTTGGACTTTGGCCAGGACATTTTAGCACAAAACATCCCTTGGTCTAAACCTCTGAACGGCGCCTCTGGTTGAGATACAGTGAAGAAACCTCAAGTGTTTCGAGTCTCTAACCAGTTTTCCTCCAGAACAGTCCAATCTGTTCAGCAGACAAATATCCCCATAGCATGATGCTGACACCACCTTGTAGTACTGTAAGAGAGACATCTTCATCCTTTTGTATACGTTTGCAGCGGCTTGTGGAAAACTTTGAAGTGGACTTTTTTTGTTTTGACCTGCCATTTTTTAGCTTTTTAACTTACCGTTGCTTTAAGCTTCTCCATGTCTTTATTATTGAACTGCCTTGTGTATTCCTTGGACTTTTTGGCGTCGTTTCTTCACTAATGTTCCCTCGCGCTCCTCTGAGGACTCCACAGCACAGCTGTATTTATATGAAGATCAACAGGTGGTCTTTATTTTTGACTTCTGAATGCAGTTGGGGATTTTGCACGCGGGTGTCAGAGTGAAGACTTTTTAGATCATAATTTTGCAAAAAGTTTTGAGCTGTTCATCACATTTCTTACACTTTACAATCGTTATCTAACTCGGGTTGATTTTTTTTTTTTTTTTTACATCTAATTCTGATAAAAGACATTGAAGTTTGTGGTTGTAACATGATGACAAAAAATGTGAAAAAGTTTGAGATGCATGAACACTTTTGTAAGGCACTGCAATTTCCCATTGAGATAAAAAAAAAAAATAAAAAAAAAAAAAAAACAAAGCAACATACTCTTTCCTTAATGTTTTTTTTTTCGAATTTTTG